GCCATACTCTGCCATCTCCATATATAGTCCCGCCAAACTGTTGGCTCTGATACCAGTTGTTGGGCTAAAATGGTCCAAAGATACTCTTAACATGATGTGATATTATCCGCTTTGGACCAAGCCCACATGTTTTTTTCCTAAAAGGCCTCACACCATCAAGAGTATCCAACTCCTTATAAGTAGAATCTTTTTCCTTTCTACTTTCCATGTGAGACTTTGTTCCCACACCCAATAATCTCCCCCTTGAACTAAGTTCCACATGACCTATCACCATTCATGGGCTAATCTAGAGATTAATTGTGTGTCATCCACATGATCTTGAGCATTTACGGTCACCGAAGCCCAAAGGTTGTGTATGTGTTTTCAAAGCTACGGGTAAAGGTCTTAAACCCTGTAGACGGGCAAAGACACTAAGCCGGCCCCACACCACACTCCGCCTTCTCCATAGTCCTGCCAAACCATTGGCTCTGATACCAGTTGTTGGGCTAAAATGACCAAAAGATACTCTTAACATGGTGTGATATTGTTCGTTTTGGCGACGGCTGCACGATTTTTTCCAAAAGACCTCACACTATTAAGAGTATATCCAACTCCTTATAAGTAAATTTTTTTTCCTTTCTACTTTCCATGTGGATGTGGGACTTTGTTCACACACCCAACAAGAACGTCACATAATGCAAATAATCCCACAAATACTCTACCAAGTTAGGAGTATATAAGAAGTTTAAACATCTTTCTCGTCGGAAAATCCAATTTACCAAAAAAAAATATGAGTGTGATATTCTATAACTATATATATTCGAAATAAGAGTAAGTCATTTCTGAGGTAAAAATTTAAAGAAAAATTGAAAAGAAAATCGCAAGGTCAATGTTTTCTTGGTTGATGATTTTCGAATTTGGAAATGACATACATTCAAAATCTGTCCTCACGATAAAAGTACCAACGAATAAACTACTACGTAGTACGTACTTGTGTTCAATTACTTGAAATGTAGATCTTTCTTTATTAAATAGCCTTTTTGAGATGCCATTTTTGATCATTTTGTAGTCCCTATTAAGAGATATGTATTGAAGAAACTTTACATGAAATTCTCCACTCCTATTGTCCTATATTTCAAGACCTGTATAATTAGAACTCAAGCTGAAAATATTTTAAACTTATCTTATATAGGAATTGTTGGGTCTTTTATGTATTTAATTAATATATTAAATACTTAAAAAAGGGTGAATGGGAAATGGAGGAAAATGAAATTTTTGAGTGAAATTTTAAGTTTCTCCCCTTGGCAAATGGACATTGTCCCCATATTGGAAGAGGAAGAGGTTTTTATGGGTATATAAGCAATTGTTCTTCTTCTAGCTCTTAAAGAGTTGAGAAGAAGGCAAGCCTCGCGCCGCCGCCGCTGTCGTCGTCGCTCGGCTCGGATTCAGATTCGGATTCGGATTCTAGCAAATGATTGATTGATTAACTTTTTAGATCAAATTTATTTGTTAATAGTAAAATATTAACAGAAATGTTATTAAATATTTGTTTTAATAACAGAATATTAATATTAAATCCAATCTGTTTTTTAGTTGTGTAATTGAAAATTAAACTACCCTCTTCAATTTTCCCTCTTTATTGTTGAGTAAATAGTCATTTATGTTATGATATTTATGTTGTGGCCGTTTTGCATAATCTGAAGAGTTGCACCTCTTCAGATTTCAGCCCAACTTTGGCTATAAATACAAGGCTATTCTGCTCAGAATTTCCATACGATTTTCTGAGTTTCTCCTCCTTCTTCTGCATAGTTTAAACATCAAATAAAGCAACAGTAAGTGTGATTTGCTACCGAATTTTGTGTTCGCTGAAACACTGGAGTTTGAAGTACCACTACACCAGTGTGTAATTCGTTATCCATAACCTTGGGTACTAGAAGGGGATTAAATTCCTTAAGGAAACACTGTGAATTCAGTGGCTCGAATTGGTTTTCTGTTATTTCGTAGTTCATTCCTGTTTATGTTCATTTCTGTTTATGTTCATTAATATTTCCAGAATTATTTTACAAATACAGTATACTAACAGGAATTTCCATATAAAATGGAACAAAAGAATAGTCGTTATCTAAGTGATTAAAGAGCTAAAAATCTTATCACTAATGGAAAAAAAGAAGAGAAAAGGACATTATATATATAAATTTATACATTTTTTTGATTACCAAATATAAATTTTTGTTGGCGCAGACTAAAAGTAATAATATTTAAAAATATTTAAAATTAAAAAGAAGGTACTAGTAGCGGCAATGCTTTAAATTAGTAGATGGAGGATTTATTGCAAATTATGGCGTGTGAGTCACTCGTTGTATTGTCCACAGTGAGGTAGTTATGCATTAATTTTGCAATAAAAGATGTACGTACATATTATTTATGCAAACCCTAACTGCCACTGCTCCTTTTATTTCTTAGGGAGTTAATTGCATTTAATAGTAGTAGTAGAGATCTCTTGAACAGAGGGGAACTAGGATTTGAAATTTATGGGTTCCGAATTCTATCACTTTTAAATTATTGAGTTCTAAATTAATAATTTTAATACATATTAAATGAATTTTCTAAGATAAATACAGAGTTTGTACCAAAATTATTGGGTTCGGCCGAACTCGCGACTCAATCTCTAGCTCCGCTCGTGCTCTTGAAGCTTCTCGTGAATGCACATGCTAATTAAACTAGAAACTTGCAAGGCTATTCTAGGTGTTGACGTTCTTAATTTTGATAAAAGAAGAAGGTCCTAGATCTTAATGTAGGTTTAATTTAACAACACTTTGGATTAAATGTGATTAGGAAAAAATAGGAATACTAAAAGAGAAAAGAGAGAGAGAAAGACTCATTTTTGAATAAGAGATGTTTGAATCTGAATAAAACATAATTGTAAGATATTGTCTCTAAATTTAAACATATGTTGGATAATTAAAACATAGACCTCTTAGTAGGATTTGAACCAATATGAAGTTTTGACCACCTATTTAAATAAAATAAAAAAGAATAAACAAATCTTGCAGGACCGGGTTTGTTTACGCAACAGTTGAATGTGCATAAAATTTAAATAAAATAATAATTAAATATTATATTATGAGGAATAAACGATAATAGGTATTGAGTGGTATAATCAAAATCTGTACAAGTTCGCCCCGGACACCAGTGTATTATAAAAACACAAATAAATAAATAAATGTGCACACCAGCCAACGGTAGTACTTATTGCCTTAAATAATACTAGACTGTAATAGGCGCTTTTAGTATGTCATCCGATTATAGTATTAA